GCACGACTGTCATCAGGTAACTCTGCACCACTGTCATCAGGTAACACTGAAACACTGTCATCAGTTAACTCTGCACCACTGTCATCAGGTCACTCTGAACCACTGTCATCAGGTAACTCTGTACCACTGTCATCAGGTAACTCTGCACCACTGTCATCAGGTAACTCTGTACCACTCTCAACAGGTAACTCTGCACCACTGTCATCAGGTAATTCTGTACCACTGTCATCAGGTAACTCTGCACCACTGTCATCAGGTAACTCTATACCACTGTCATCACGTAACTCTACACCACTGTCATCAGGTAACTCTACACCACTGTCATCAGGTAACTCTATACCACTGTCATCAGGTAACTCTATACCACTGTCATCACGTAACTCTACAACCACTGTCATCAGGTAACTCTACACCACTGTCATCAGGTAATTCTACACAACTGTCATCAGGTAACTCTATACCACTGTCACCAGGTAACTCTACACCACTGTCATCAGGTAACTCTACATCACTGTCATCAGGTAAGTCTTTATCCCCTGTCATCAGGTAACTATATACCACTGTCATCAGGTAACTCTGCACCACTGTCATCAGGTAACACTGTACCCCTGTCATCAGGTAACTCTGCACCATCATCAGGAAACTCTGTACCACTGTCATCAGGTAAATCCGCACCACTGTCATCAGATAACTCTGCATCACTGTCATCAGATAACTCTGTACCACTGTCATCAGGTAACTCTGCACCACTGTCATCAGGTAACTCTGAACCACTGTCATCAGGTAACTCTGAACCACTGTCATCAGGTAACTCTGTACCACTGTCATCAGGTAACTCTGCACCACTGCCATCAGGTAACTCTACACCACTGTCATCAGGTAACTCTGCACCACTGTCGTCAGGTAACTCTGCACCACTGCCATCAGGTAACTCTACACCACGGTCAGCAGTTAACTCTGTACCACTGTCATCAGGTAATTCTCTACCACTGTCATCAGGAAACTCTGTACCACTCTCAACAGGTAAGTCTGCACCACTGTCATCAGGTAACTCTGTACCACTGTCATCAGGTAACTCTGTACCACTGTCATCAGGTAACTCTACACCACTGCCATCATGTAACTCTGTACCACTGTCATTAGTTAACTCTGCACCACAGTTATCAGGTAACTCTGCACAATTGTCATCAGGAAACTCTGCATCACTGCCATCAGGTAACTCTCTACCACTGTCATCAGGTAACTCTGTACCACTGCCATCAGGTAACTCTGCACTACTGTCATCAGGAAACTCTGTACGACTGCCATCAGGTAATTCTGTACCACTGACAACAGGTAACTCTGCACAACTGTATTCACGTAACTCTACACACCTCTTATCAGGTAACTCTGTACCAAAGTCTTCAGGTAACTCTGCACCACTGCCATCAAGTATCTCTGTACTACTGTCATAAGGTAACTCTGCACCACTGTTATCAGGTAACTCTGCACCACTGCCATCAGGTAACTCTGTACCAATGCCATCAGGTAACTCTGTACCACTGCCATCAGGTAACTCTGTACCACTGTCATCAGGTAACACGGCACAACTCTATTCAGGTAACTCTACACACCTGTTATCAGATAACTCTGTACCACTGCCATTAGGTAACTCTGCACTACTGTCATCAGGAAACTCTACACCACTGCAATCAGGTAACTCGGTACCACTGCCATCACGTAACTCTGCACTACTGTCAACAGGAAACTCTGTACCACTGCCATCAGGAAACTCTGTACAACTGTCATCAGGTAACTCTGCACTTCTGTATTCAGGTAACTCTACACACCTGTTATCAGGTAATCTGTACCACTGTCATCAGGTAACTCTACACCACTGTCGTCAGGGAACTATGCACCACTGTCATCAGGTAACTCTGCACTACTGTCATCAGGTAAATCTGCACAACTGCCATTAGGTAACTCTGTACCACTGTCATTAGGTAACTCTGCACCACTGTCATCAAGTAACTCTACATACTTGTTATCAGTTAACTCTGCCACACTGTCATCAGGTAACTCAGTACCACTGTCATCAGGAAACTCTGTACCACTGCCATCAGGTAACTCTGTACCACTCTCATCAGGTAACTCTTTACAACTGTATTCAAGTAAATTTACACACCTGTTATCAGGTAACTCTGTACCACTGTCATCAGTGAAATCTGCACCACTGCCATCAGGTACCTCTGTACCAATGTCATCGGGTAACTCTGTACCACTGTCATCAAGTAACTCTACACACCTGTTATCAGGTAACTCTGCACCAATGCCATCAGGTAACTCTGTACCACTGCCATCAGGTAACTCTGTACCACTGTCATCAGGTAACACCGCACAATTGTCATCATGTAACTCTACACACCTATTAACAGGTAACTCATTACCACTGTCATCAGGTAACTCTGCACTACTGTCATCAGGAAACTCTACATCACTGTCATCAGGTAACTCTGCACCACTGCCATCAGGTAACTCTGCACTACTGTCATCAGGAAACTCTCCACCACTGTCATGAGGTAACTCTGCACCACTGTATTCAGGTAACTCTTCAAACTGTTATCAGGTAACTCTGTACCACTGTCATCAGGAAGCTCTACACCACTGTCATCAGGTATCTCTGCACCACTGTCATCCCTAACTGTACACACCTGTTATCAGGTAACTCTGCACCACTGTCATCAGGAAACTCTACACCATTGTCATCAGTTAACTATGCACCACTGTCATCAGGTAACTCTGCACTACTGTCATCAAGAAACTCTGCACCACTGTCATCAGGTAACATTGCACCACTGCCATCAGATAACTCTGTACCACAGCCATTAAGTAACTCTGTACCACTGTCATTAGGTAACTCTGCACCACTGTCATCAAGTAACTCTACTCACCTGTTATCAGGTAACTCTGCACCACTGTCACCAGGTAACTCTGCACTACTGTAATCAGCAAACTCTACACCACTGTCATCAGGTAACTCTATACCATTGCCTTCAGGTAACTCTACACACCTGTTATCAGGTAACTTTACACCACTGTCGTCATGTAACTCTGCACAACTGTTATCAGGTAACTCTGCGACACTGTCATCAGGAAACTCTGTACCAATGTCATCAGGAAAATCTACACCACTGCCATCAGGTGACTCTGCACTACAGTCATCAGGAAAATCTGTACCACTGCCATCAGGTAACTCTGTAGCACTGTCATCAGGTAACTCTTTACAACTGTATTCAAGTAACTCTACACACCTGTTATCAGGTAACTCTGCACCACTGCCATCATGTAACTCTGTACCACTGTCATCAGTTAACTCTGCACCACTGTTATGAGATAACTCTGCACCACTGTCGTCAGGTAACTCTGCATCACTGCCATCAGGTAACTTTCTACCACTGTCATCAGGTAACTCTGTACTACTGCCATCAGGTATCTCTGCACTACTGTCATCAGGAAACTCTGTACCACTGCCAGCAGGTAACTCAGTACCACTGTCATCAGGTAACTCTGCACAACTGTATTCAGGTAAATCTACACACCTGTTATCAGGTAACTCTGTACCACTGTCATCAGGAAACTCTGTACCACTGCCATCAGGTAACTCTGCACCACTGTTATCAGGTAACTCTGCACCACTGTCATCAGGAACTCTGTACCACTGCCAGCAGGTAACTCTGTACCATTGTCATCAGTTAACTCTGCGCTACTGTCGTCAGGAAACTCTATACCACGGCCATCAGGTAACTCTGTACCACTGTCATCAGGTAACTCTGCTCACCTGTATTCAGGTAAATCTACACACCTGTTATCAGGTAACTCTGTACCATTGTCATTAGGAAACTCTACACCACTGTCATCAGGTAAATATGCACCACTGTCATCAGGTAATTCTGCACTACTTTCATCAAGAAACTCTGCACCACTGTCATCAGGTAACTCTGCACCTCTGCTATCAGGTAACTCTGTACCACAGCCATTAGGTAACTCTGTACCACTGTCATTAGGTAACTCTGCACCACTGTCATCAAGTAATTCTACACACCTGTTAACAGGTAACTCATTACCACTGTCATCAGGTAACTCTGCACTACTGTCATCAGGAAACTCTACACCACTGCCATCAGGTAACTCTACACCACGGTCAGCAGTTAACTCTGTACCACTGTCATCAGGTAACTCTACATCACTGTCATCAGGTAACTCTCTACCACTGTCATCAGGAAACTCTGTACCACTCTCAACAGGTAACTCTGCACCACTGTCATCAGGTAACTCTGTACCACTGTCATCAGGTAACTCTGCACCACTGTTATCAGGTAACTCTGCACCACTGCCATCAGGTAAATCTGCACCACTGCCATCAGGTAACTCTGTACCAATGCCATCAGGTAACTCTGTACCACTGCCATCAGGTAACTCTGCACTACTGTCATCAGGAAACTCTGTACCACTGCCATCAGGTAACTCTGTACCACTGTCATCAGGTAACACGGCACAACTCTATTCAGGTAACTCTACACACCTGTTATCAGATAACTCTGTACCACTGCCATCAGGTAACTCTGCACTACTGTCATCAGGAAACTCTACACCACTGCCATCAGGAAACTCTGTACCACTGTCATCAGGTAACTCTACACTTCTGTATTCAGGTAACTCTACACACCTATTATCAAGTAACTCTGTACCACTGTCATCAGGTAACTCTACACCACTGTCATCAGGTAACTATGCACCACAGTCATCAGGTAACTCTGCACTACTATCATCAGCTAAATCTGCACAACTGCCATTAGGTAACTCTGTACCACTGTCATTAAATAACTCTGCACCACTGTCATCAAGTAACTCTACATACTTGTTATCAGTTAACTCTGCCACACTGTCATCAGGCAGCTCTGTACCACTGTCATCAGGAAAATCTACACCACTGCCATCAGGTAACTCTGCACTACTGTCATCAGGAAACTCTGTACCACTGCCATCAGGTAACTCTGTACCACTGTCATCAGGTAAATCTTTACAACTCTTTTCAAGTAACTTTACACACCTGTTATCAGGTAACTCTGTACCACTGTCATCAGTGAAATATGCACCACTGCCATCAGGTACCTCTGTACCAATGTCATCGGGTAACTCTGTACCACTGTCATCAAGTAACTCTACACACCTGTTATCAGGTAACTCTGCACCACTGCCATCAGGTAACTCTGTACCACTGCCATCAGTTAACTCTGTACCACTGTCATCAGGTAACTCGGCACAACTGTATTCAGGTAACTCTACACAATTCTTATCAGGTAACTCTGTACCACTGTCATCAGGTAACTCTACACCACTGCCATCATGTAACTCTGTACCACTGTCATTAGTTAACTCTGCACCACAGTTATCAGGTAACTCTGCACAACTGTCATCAGGTAACTCTGCACTACTGTCATCAGGAAACTCTGTACGACTGCCATCAGGTAACTCTGTACCACTGACAACAGGTAACTCTGCACAACTGTATTCACGTAACTCTACACACCTCTTATCAGGTAACTCTGTACCAAAGTCTTCAGGTAACTCTGCACCACTCCCATCAAGTATCTCTGTACTACGGTCATAAGGTAACTCTGCACCACTGTTATCAGGTAACTCTGCACCACTGCCATCAGGTAAATCTGCACCACTGCCATCAGGTAACTCTGTACCAATGCCATCAGGTAACTCTGTACCACTGCCATCAGGTAACTCTGTACCACTGTCATCAGGTAACACGGCACAACTCTATTCAGGTAACTCTACACACCTGTTATCAGATAACTCTGTACCACTGCCATTAGGTAACTCTGCACTACTGTCATCAGGAAACTCTACACCACTGCCATCAGGTAACTATGTAACACTGCCATCACGTAACTCTGCACTACTGTCAACAGGAAACTCTGTACCACTGCCATCAGGAAACTCTGTACCACTGTCATCAGGTAACTCTGCACTTCTGTATTCAGGTAACTCTACACACCTGTTATCAGGTAATCTGTACCACTGTCATCAGGTAACTCTACACCACTGTCATCAGGTAACTATGCACCACTGTCATCAGGTAACTCTGCACTACTGTCATCAGGTAAATCTGCACAACTGCCATTAGGTAACTCTGTACCACTGTCATTAGGTAACTCTGCACCACTGTCATCAAGTAACTCTACATACTTGTTATCAGATAACCCTGCCTCACTGTCATCAGGTAACTCTGTACCACTGTCATCAGGAAACTCTGTACCACTGCCATCAGGTAACTCTGTACCACTGTCATCAGGTAACTCTTTACAACTGTATTCAAGTAACTTTACACACCTGATATCAGGTAACTCTGTACCACTGTCATCAGTGAAATCTGCACCACTGCCATCAGGTACCTCTGTACCAATGTCATCGGGTAACTCTGTACCACTGTCATCAAGTAACTCTACACACCTGTTATCAGGTAACTCTGCACCACTGCCATCAGGTAACTCTGTACCACTGCCATCAGGTAACTCTGTACCACTGTCATCAGGTAACACCGCACAATTGTCATCAAGTAACTCTACACACCTATTAACAGGTAACTCATTACCACTGTCATCAGGTAACTCTGCACTACTGTCATCAGGAAACTCTACATCACTGTCATCAGGTAACTCTGCACCACTGCCATCAGGTAACTCTGCACTACTGTCATCAGGAAACTCTCCACCACTGTCATGAGGTAACTCTGCACCACTGTATTCAGGTAACTCTACAAACTGTTATCAGGTAACTCTGTACCACTGTCATCAGGAAGCTCTACACCACTGTCATCAGGTAACTCTGCACCACTGTCATCCAGTAACTGTACACACCTGTTATCAGGTAACTCTGCATCACTGTCATCAGGTAACTCTGCACCACTGTCATCAGGTAACTGTTCACCACTGTCATGAGTTAACTTTGCACCACTGTATTCAGGTAACTCTACACACCTGTTATCGGGTTACTCTGTACCACTGTCATCAGGTAAATATGCATCACTGTCATCAGGTAACTCTGTAGCACTGTCATCAGGTAACTCTTTACAACTGTATTCAAGTAACTCTACACACCTGTTATCAGGTAACTCTGCACCACTGCCATCATGTAACTCTGTACCACTGTCATCAGTTAACTCTGCACCACTGTTATGAGGTAACTCTGCACCACTGTCATCAGGTAACTCTGCATCACTGCCATCAGGTAACTTTCTACCACTGTCATCAGGTAACTCTGTACCACTGCCAGCAGGTAACTCTGCACCATTGTCATCAGTTAACTCTGCGCTACTGTCGTCAGGAAACTCTATAAACACGGCCATCAGGTAACTCTGTACCGCTGTCATCAGGTAACTCTGCACAACTGTATACAGGTAAATCTACACACCTGTTATCAGGTAACTCTGTACCACTGTCATCAGGTAAATATGCATCACTGTCATCAGGTAACTCTGCACTACTTTCATCAAGAAACTCTGCACCACTGTCATCAGGTAACTCTGCACCTCTGCTATCAGGTAACTCTGTACCACAGCCATTAGGTAACTCTGTACCACTGTCATTTGGTAACTCTGCACCACTGTCATCAAGTAATTCTACACACCTGTTAACAGGTAACTCATTACCACTGTCATCAGGTAACTCTGTACTACTGTCATCAGGAAACTCTACACCACTGCCATCAGGTAACTCTACACCACGGTCAGCAGTTAACTCTGTACCACTGTCATCAGGTAACTCTACATCACTGTCATCAGGTAACTCTCTACCACTGTCATCAGGAAACTCTGTACCACTCTCAACAGGTAACTCTGCACCACTGTCATCAGGTAACTCTGTACCACTGTCATCAGGTAACTCTGCACCACTGTTATCAGGTAACTCTGCACCACTCCCATCAGGTAAATCTGCACCACTGCCATCAGGTAACTCTGTACCAATGCCATCAGGTAACTCAGTACCACTGCCATCAGGTAACTCTGCACTACTGTCATCAGGAAACTCTGTACCACTGCCACCAGGTAACTCTGTACCACTGTCATCTGGTAACACGGCACAACTCTATTCAGGTAACTCTACACACCTGTTATCAGATAACTCTGTACCACTGCCATCAGGTAACTCTGCACTACTGTCATCAGGAAACTCTACACCACTGCCATCAGGAAACTCTGTACCACTGCCATCACGTAACTCTGCACTACTGTCATCAGGAAACTCTGTACCACTGCCAACAGGAATCTCTGTACCACTGTCATCAGGTAACTCTGCACTTCTGTATTCAGGTAACTCTACACACCTGTTATCAGATAACTCTGTACCACTGCCATCATGTAACTCTGCACTACTGTCATCAGGAAACTCTACATCACTGTCATCAGGTAACTCTGCACCACTGCCATCAGGTAACTCTGCACTACTGTCATCAGGAAACTCTCCACCACTGTCATTAGTTAACTCTGCACCACTGTTATCAGGTAACTCTGCACAACTGTCATCAGGAAACTCTGCATCACTGCCATCAGGTAACTCTCTACCACTATCATCAGGTAACTCTGTACCACTGCCATCAGGTAACTCTGCACTACTGTCATCAGGTAAATCTGTACGACTGCCATCAGGTAACTCCGTACCACTGACAACAGGTAACTCTGCACAACTGTATTCACGTAACTCTACACACCTCTTATCAGGTAACTCTGTACCAAAGTCATCAGGTAACTCTGCAACCACTGCCATCAAGTATCTCTGTACCACTGTCATAAGGTAACTCTGCACCACTGTTATCAGGTAACTCTGCACCACTGCCATCAGGTAAATCTGCACCACTGCCATCAGGTAACTCTGTACCAATGCAATCAGGTAACTCTGTACCACTGCCATCAGGTAACTCTGCACTACTGTCATCAGGAAACTCGGTACCACTGCCATCAGGTAACTCTGTACCACTGTCATCAGGTAACACGGCACAACTCTATTCAGGTAACTCTACACACCTGTTATCAGATAACTCTGTACCAATGCCATCAGGTAACTCTGCACTACTGTCATCAGGAAACTCTACACCACTGCCATCAGGTAACTCTGTACCACTGCCATCACGTAACTCTGCACTACTGTCATCAGGAAACTCTGTACCACTGCCATCAGGAAACTCTGTACCACTGTCATCAGGTAACTCTGCACTTCTGTATTCAGGTAACTCTACACACCTATTATCAGGTAACTTTGTACCACTGTCATCAGGTAACTCTACACCACTGTCATCAGGTAACTATGCCCCACTGTCATCTGGTAACTCTGCACTACTGTCATCAGGTAAATCTGCACAACTGCCATTAGGTAACTCTGTACCACTGTCATTAGGTAACTCTGCAACACTCTCATCAAGTAACTCTACATACTTGTTATCAGTTAACTCTGTCACACTGTCATCAGGTAACTCTGTACCACTGTCATCAGGAAAATCTACACCACTGCCATCAGGTAACTCTGCACTACTGTCATCAGGAAACTCTACATCACTGTCATCAGGTAACTCTGCACCAATGCCATCAGGTAACTCTGCACTACTGTCATCAGGAAACTCTCCACCACTGTCATGAGGTAACTCTGCACCACTGTATTTAGGTAACTCTACACACTGTTATCAGGTAACTCTGTACCACTGTCATCAGGAAACTCTACACCACTGTCATCAGGTAACTCTGCACAACTGTCATCCAGTAACTGTACACACCTGTTATCAGGTAACTCTGCACCACTCTCATCAGGTAACTCTGCACCACTGTCATCAGGTAACTGTTCACCACTGTCATGAGTTAACTTTGCACCACCGTATTCAGGTAACTCTACACACCTGTTATCAGGTTACTCTGTACCTCTGTCATCGGGAAACTCTACACCACTGTCATCAGGTAACTATGCACCACTGTCATCAGGTAACTCTGCACTACTGTCATCAAGAAACTCTGCACCACTGTCATCAGGTAACTCTGCAACACTGCCATCAGGTAACTCTGTACCACAGCCATTACGTAACTCTGTACCACTGTCATTAGGTAACTCTGCACCACTGTCATCAGGTAACTATGCACCACTTTCAGCAGGTAACTCTGTACCACAGCCATTACGTAACTCTGTACCACTGTCATTAGGTAACTCTGCACCACTGTCATCAAGTAACTCTACTCACCTGTTATCAGGTAACTCTGCACCACTGTCACCAGGTAACTCTGCACTACTGTAATCAGCAAACTCTACACCACTGTCATCAGGTAACTCTATACCACTGCCATCAGGTAACTCTACACACCTGTTATCAGGTAACTCTACTCCACTGTCGTCATGTAACTCTGCACAACTGTTATCAGGTAACTCTGCGACACTGTCATCAGGTAACTCTGTACCAATGTCATCAGGTGCCATCAGGTAACTCTCTCAGGCACAACTGTTATCAGGTAACTCTGCGACACTGTCATCAGGTAACTCTGTACCAATGTCATCAGGAAAATCTACACCACTGCCATCAGGTAACTCTGCACTACTGTCATCAGGAAACTCTGTACCACTGCCATCACGTAACTCTGTACCACTGTCATCAGGTAACTCTTTACAACTGTATTCAAGTAACTCTACACACCTGTTATCAGGTAACTCTGCACCACTGCCATCATGTAACTCTGTATCACTGTCATCAGTTAACTCTGCACCACTGTTATCAGGTAACTCTGCACCACTGTCATCAGGTAACTCTGCATCACTGCCATCAGGTAACTTTCTACCACTGTCATCAGGTAACTCTGTACCACTGCCATCAGGTAACTCTGCAATACTGTCATCAGTAAACTCTGTACCACTGCCAGCAGGTAACTCTGTACCACTGTCATCAGGTAACTCTGCACAACTGTATTCAGGTAAATCTACACACCTGTTATCAGGTAACTCTGTGCCACTGTCATCAGGAAACTCTGTACCACCGCCATCAGGTAACTCTGCACCACTGTTATCAGGTAACTCTGCACCACTGTCATCAGGTAACTCTGTACCACTGTCATCAGGTCACTCTGAACCACTGTCATAAGGTAACTCTGAACCACTGTCATCAGGTAACTCTGTACCACTGCCAGCAGGTTACTCTGTACCATTGTCATCAGTTAACTCTGCGCTACTGTCGTCAGGAAACTCTATACCACGGCCATCAGGTAACTCTGTACCACTGTCATCAGGTAACTCTGCACAACTGTATTCAGGTAAATCTACACACCTATTATCAGGTAACTCTGTACCACTGTCATTAGGAAACTCTACACCACTGTCATCAGGTAAATATGCACCACTGTCACCAGGTAACTCTGCACTACTGTCATCAAGAAACTCTGCACCACTGTCATCAGGTAACTCTGCACCTCTGCTATCAGGTAACTCTGTACCACAGCCATTAGGTAACTCTGTACCACTGTCATTAGGTAACTCTGCACCACTGTCATCAAGTAACTCTACACACCTGTTAACAGGTAACTCATTACCACTGTCATCAGGTAACTCTTCACTACTGTCATCAGGAAACTCTACATCACTGTCATCAGGTAACTCTGCACCACTACTATCAGGTAACTCTGCACTACTATCATCAGGAAGCTCTCCACCACTGTCATGAGGTAACTCTGCACCACTGTATTCAGGTAACTCTACACACCTGTTATCAGATAACGCTGTACCACTGTCATCAGGAAACTCTACACCACTGTCATCAGGTAACTCTGCACCACTGTCATCAGGTAACTCTGCACCACTGTCATCAGGAAACTCTCCACCACTGTCATGAGGTAACTCTGCACCACTGTCATCAGGGAACTCTACACACCTCTTATCAGTTAACTCTGCACCACTGTCATCAGGAAACTCTACACTACTGTCATCAGGAAACTCTGCACCACTGTCATCCAGTAACTGTACACACCTGTTATCAGGTAACTCTGCACCACTGTCATGAGGTAACTCTGCACCACTGTCATCAGGTAACTCTACACACCTGTTATCAGGTAACTCTACACCACCGTCATCATGTAACTCTGCACAACTGTCATCATGTAACTCTGCACAACTGTTATCAGGTAACTCTACACCACTGTCATCAGGTAAATCTGTACCACTGTCATCAGGTAACTCTACACATCTGTTATCAGGTAACTCTGCACCACTGTCATCAGGTAACTCTGCACCACTGTCATCAGGTAACTCTGCACCACTGTCATCAGGTAACTCTGCACTACTGTCATCAGGAAACTCTAAACCACTGTCATCAGTGAATTCTGCACCACTGCCATCAGGTAACTTTGTACCACTGCCATCAGGTAACTCTGTACCACTGTCATCGGGTAACTCTGCACCACTGTCATCAAGTAACTCTACACACCTGTTATCAGGTAACTCTGCACCACTGCCATCAGGTAACTCTGTACCACTGCCATCAGGTAACTCTGTACCACTTTCATCAGGTAACTCTGCACCACTGTCATCAAGTAACTCTACACACCTGTTAACAGGTAACTCTTTACCACTGTCATCAGGTAACTCTGCACTACTGTCATCAGGAAACTCTACATCACTGTCATCAGGTAACTCTACACCACTGCCATCAGGTAACTCTGCACTACTGTCATCAGGAAACTCTACACTACTGTCATCAGGTAACTTTGCACCACTGTCATCCAGTAACTGTACACACCTGTTATCAGGTAACTCTGCACCACTGTCATCAGGTAACTCTGCACCACTGTCAGCAGGTATCTCTACACACCTGTTATCAGGTAATTTTTTATCGATGTCATCAGGTAACTCTACACCACTGTAAGTTTCATCAGGTAAATCTACACCACTGTCATCAGGTAACTCAACACCACTGTCATCAGGTAACTCTGCACCACTGCCATCAGGTAACTCAGTACCACTGTCATCAGGTAACTCTGCACTACTTTCATCAGGAAATTCTACACCACTGTCAACAGGTAACTCTGCACCACTGCCATTAGGTAACTCTGTACCAATGTCATCAGAATGTGGGAAATGTTTCTCCCTGAAGAGTCATCTCATGGGACACATTCTTGTTCACAATGGTGTGAAGGAGTTTGAATGTGAGGAATGTGGGAAATGTTTCTCCCAGAAGAGTACACTGAAGACACACATTTTTCGACACAGTGGTATAAAGAAGTTTAACCCTAGACCACTGTCATCAGGTAACTCTTTATCACTGTCATCAGGTAAATCTAAATTACTGTCATCAGGTAACTCTACACCACTGTCACCAGGTAATTCTACACAACTGTCATCATTTAATTCCACATCAGTGTCATTAGGCAAATCTACACCACTGTCATCTGGTAATTCTACACCACTGTTATTAGGTAACTCTGCTCCACTGTCATCAGGTAAGTCTACACCACTGTTATCAGGTAACTCTACACCACTGTCATCAGGTAACTCTTCATCACTGTCATCAGGTAACTCAACATCACTGTCATCAGGTACATCTACATCACTGTTATCAGGTGCAGAGTTACCTGATGACAGTAGTGTAGAGTTACCTGATGACCGTGGTGCAGAGCTACCTGATAACAGTGGTGCAGAGTTACCTTGATGACAGTGGTGTAGAGTTAAGCGAGATAGTAGTGACTAGTAACGATGTTTATAAACAAATAGATAAAATACGCCTAGTAAATCACTATGTCCCGACGAGATATTTGTCAGAGTATTTAGAGAATGTAAGGAAGAACTTACTATGGCAGTGTGCCCTTTGCAAACTTGTATAACATATCATTAAGAACTGGTGTATTACCAGAATCCTAGCAGATAGCGAATGTAATACCAATTTTCAAGAAGGGAAACAGATCACATCAATTTTAGGCAAATTACTGGAAACAATAATTTCAAACTCAATTCGAAATCAACCTGGAAAAGTACAAATTGGACAATGATTTCCAGCATGGCTTCACAAGTGGGCGTTCGTGTCTGAAAAATCTATTATCATTATTTTCAACTGTTTTCGAATCAGTGGATGACAGAGACGATTCATTCAAATCAATTTTAATGTTTATTCCTTGATAGAGGAAGCGGTATCCTAGTGTTGTCACTAGGTGCCCCTGTACAATAATACCAGAAGCATCTGGCAAGTGTGACGAGTATTTATACGTATTATGGGGAGGATCATCGTATCTCTGTCAGGGGCTCATGGAGTGGTGGTCCAGCAGGCGTCACGGAAGCGTTATGTGTGGGGACATCTTAGGAGGTAGTGGACAAGGGTGCGGATGTCGGGTCTTCTGCATAATGCACAAGAGCGTTGCTCAGGGGATGCGGGGATACCAATCTCCCAAGCAAAGTCATACGTAATGATGATACGGGCAGCAATCACGTCCCTTTTCCGCGACCCTTTCCCATAGACATACGGGAGGTCAGGAAGTTTACGGAGGACATCGTACCAAGTGGGCAGGGAGTCCAAGGGGATGGCTGCTTCCCGAACTTCTCTCTGTTTGCGGCGAATTTGGGTCCTAAGCTGTAAAAGTGTTCGTAGGAACAACGTAGTCAGGTGTGGCCTTGTTACAGCCAGTCTTGGCAAGGCCATCTGCTGCCTCATTCCCCAAGATGCCGACATGACTGGGTATCCATGGGAATGTCACAGGACGGCCTGCATCCCTGATCCAAATGCGATCCCGTCGAGAGCAGACCTGGGATCGCAACAGACAAGCAGGGGGCAGAAACCATCGGCTTTTTCCTCAGCGAGAAGGGGAGCAAGGAGGGCTATCAGTTATTCCTGAGTGGAGGATGCTCCGTCAGAAACTCTGAGAGAAAGTTTAATAGGCGCAGAGGCATGAGGACAGGAGATATAGACACCAGCCCCGGCCCTGCCTGTAGCGGGGTCAGCAGAGCCATCAGTGTAGAGGACCAGAGACGATTGTGATGTGGTTTTCGTCGACTTTGGCAAAGCCTTCGACGGGGTCCCCCACCAAAGACAAATACTTAAAATGGAAGCACATGGTGTTGGAGATGCTCTAACTGAATTAAAGCGTTGTTACAGGACAGAAACCAACAAGTAACCATGAACGGCACTAAATCCGATTGGGGTGACGTCACTATTAGAGTACCCCCCAAGGCTCAGTATTTGGACCATTACTATTTATTATATGCATAAACGACATGGATATAGGCGTAGAGAACAACATCAGTAAATTTGCTGTCGACGCTGAAATAGGGAGTGCAATTAAATCTGACGAGAACTCGGCATAACTAGGGGAAGATCTGAAAAAAGAAACCGCATTGTTTAAAATATGGCAAATGAAATTTAATTTGGACAAAAGTAAAGTACCTACTTCATCGGTAGTAGGCAGCTACCAAACAGGGAGGTACTACTGCCTGGGAAGATATTGGAAGCA